CGAGCCCGAGCCTAACCAAGCTCGAGCTCAGCTCGTTTAATTTTGAAGAAGCTCGAGCTCGATTCGAGCCTTAAAATGAAGCTCGAGCTCGGCTCGTGAACAATTTATTGAGCTCTCGAGCCTAAACGAGCTTAAACGAGCTTATATATACACACACACACAGACACACACACACACACACACACACATATATATATATATATTATATATATATATATATATATATATATATATATATATATATATATATATATATATATATATATAGAAGTAGGTTCATTTAAAAACATAGATTAGTGTGAATACGTGAGGACGATTTACAGCCAATCAATTTTATCATTTAAAAAAATAATTAAATTTATTTTTAAGGGTAAGCATGTAATTTTACACAAAAGTCAATCAAGTAATTAAAACAAATAGCCTAAAAATACGTTGATTGATCTTTCCATAATCCACAAATGAAACCCACCTACTAATCATTTTGTATTACCAGTCATATCATTCATCGTTTTGAAAAAGATTTTATTATTCTATTGATCCAAATGGATGCTCATACAGAAGACGGCGACCATGTTGATTTATATTCAATGCAGGATGGAATAGATCATACTTTTGATGATAGTCTGTTCGATGACCAACATCATGGAATTGATAAAAATCCAGGTTTAATTTCTTACAAATTTTCGTATATCATGATAAGAATCCAGGTTTAATTTATTACAATTTTTCGTAAATGTTAACTTCCTTTTACTAAATTCCGATAGTATATTTTATGTTAATTCATCATTGTTTATTTTTAGTAGAAGATTGTTATATTTATGATAATATTGATCTAGATGCAAAAGTTTTAGGTGATATTTCAATTGAAGACGAGACAGTGGGTGTATTTGATGATAATCAATCTAATGATAATCATCAAAGTTCTAATCATCAGCATGTGATTATTAATGGAAAACAATATTGGATTCCAAAGGTACCTGATGAAGTTAAGCCAAAACTCAAAGGCCATTACAGGTCCTATGAAGATATAACAGATATGTATTACAAGTATGCTCTTGCAGCAGGTTTTGATGTTAGAAAAACGACAAATAGAAAAAATGGGCATGGTATTATTAGATTGAGATACCTCGTGTGTAACAGACAAGGTCTTCCTAATACAGGTCATGTTGATACATTGAACCCAAACAGAAGTAAGATAAAAAGAAGGACTGATAGTCGAAGGACTGGATGCAATGCTTGTATCAGATTTAGGATGATAGAAGGAAGCTCTACATGGTTGCTATATGAGTTTGTAGAGGAACATAATCATGAGCTTATGTCTCAAGATAACATATTGTTTTCCCGACACCACAGACAGCTTAATTCATGGCAGAAATCGTTCATTATCAGTCTTTCTAATCAGAACGTTGGTGCCACCCAAGCTCACAGGCTATTTACTGCTATTAATGGTGGATACAATATTATTGGAGGCACTGTTGATGATTTTAAAATTTTGATGAGGGATCTTAATTGCTTTATAGGTTGAACTGATGCTCAGATGTTAGTCGATAAGATGACAAACAGAACAAAAAATGTTCCTAATTTTTCATTCGATTTCAGAGTTGAAAATAAGCAACTCAACGCTATGTTTTGGGCTGACGAGACCTCAAAGATAAATTATAAAGAATTTGGTGATGTTGTCTCCTTTGATGCCACATTCCGAACCAACACGTTATGTATTTTTTATGTTTATGTTTTTTGTTTTAATTTTAAGTCTTTTAAAATTTTCAATGTAAATTTTATCACTTTTTAGGTATGACATGGTATTTGTTCCTTTCACTGGAATCGACAATCACAAAAAGTGTGTTACTTTTGGTGCTGGATTGCTTAGCAAAGAGGATATCGACTCATACACATGGTTGTTGAAATCTTTACTTAAAGCCTTTGGTAAACAACTAATATTGGTGTTATCTGATGAAGACCCCGCGATGAAAAACGCTATAGCTAATGTTTTCCCAGAATCAATTCATAGGTTGTGTATGTGGCACATCACTTCCAAATTACCATTGAAGGTTACAAGCTTTTATTTAATAATCTCTCGGTCAACATTTTATTCATTTTGAATCACTGTTATTTTAATTTTACATTCTGAAAATAATCAATGATAGTACTTTTGTATCTCTAACATATAGTCTACATTGACTAATGTTCGATAACATTATTGTCGTTTCCTTTTATACATTTTGGACTGGTTCAATGATTTTGATTTTTAACACCTTCCACATTTTCTTATTGTAAGGTATCGTTGGATATTGTCAACGAAGAGGAATTTAAGTTACTGTTCAACTCCTTGATATGGAATTCTAAGCTTGAAGAGAAAGATTTCGAACAGGGATGGCAAGCACTATTGGATGAATATGATCTTAAGGATAATACTTGGTTAAGTAGAATGTACAACTTGAGACATTCATGGATTCCTGCATTTTTCAAAAGAGTCCCTATGTCAGGTCTCATGAGAACAACATCTCGTTCTGAGAGTCAGAACTCAGCCTTTCATCAAAACACTCATTATGGATCAACTTTAGTAAACTTTATGAATTCGTTTGAATCTGCCATGGAGAAGCAACGTTATACTCAATCCTCTTTGGACTTCAAAACACAAAAGACAAATTCCTTAAAATGAGAACACCATTTCCAATAGAGGAAAACGCTTCTCTATTCTACACACGTAAAGTATTTAGACAGGTTCAGAACGAAATGTACAGGTCAATGACAGCATGTTTTTCGTTAAATCACAACATCGTTGACCATGTTCATGAGTTTCAGATAAAATAATTTAGGCCACATGGATATTCCATCTCGAATCGGCCTGACTTCGATATTGTCAGTAATGATGGCGATGATAATTGGGATAAGTTACTAAAAGACTCTATATATACGGTATTATTTTTGAGCTCTGATATCATCTTATTTTTTTCCACACCAAATTTTGCATATATATCTGATTATTTTTCTATACAGGTTAAATGTGACCAGAAAGAAGACACATTCATTTGTAGTTGTATGAAGTTTGAACAATTTGGGATTCTTTGTCGCCACATTTTTACTGCAATGAAAGCCTTCAACATCCAATTCATACCAGCAAAGTATCTTCTAAGGCGGTGGCAGAAGAATATTATTCCACCTGAATTGTTACGAAGATGTTTCCGGTATTCAGATTCTGATGAGAATATACAAAAAATAGCAATTGACATATTTTCAACGGTTGACAACTGTCTCTCTTCTTTGAGCACCAACAAAAAAAGACTGGAAGAGTATTATCAAGCACTTAAGGAATTGGAGAGCAAGTTTATGGATGGCGTTACTATGAATGAACGCCCAAACAAGTCAACAGACTTTGAAAATAGACTTGGTGTGTCGATACCCGCAGATGTTCAAATTCAAAACCCCACTGGAATTAGGAACAAAGGGTCTGGGACTAAAAAAAGGATTAAAGGTGCTCAAGAAATTGCAGTTGAAAAATCACGTTGTAAATACTGTCGTAAGGGTAACGATCATGACAAGCGGAACTGTCCTACACGAAAGGAAGATGAGAAGAACAACATATTTAAACAACATCCTGGAAAGAAGCACTAATTTTATTATCGATCTTTTTTATTTCATATTATTTTGTTTGGTTTGTTTACTTTATGGTAAAACACTTTTAACATTCTCAGTCAATTGTCACTTTTCAGTATTATGTTTTTATAATTTGTGTACCCTATCTATAATTTATTTTTAAATTTTGTTTATTATTTGTCATTGAAATTGTTTTCAAAACTTATCCACATATTCCTTGTTTTTTTAACCATCCCAATCCTTACAACATTATTACACGTATACAACAACCAATACATTATAAATGTCGTTATCTTATTAATAAAGTCACAAAACATTACATTCTTATGTTTTTTTTTGTATCGTTATTCATTTCAGAATTTATAAAACCAAAATTGATTCCATGATTATAAGTTGACATATAATTAAGTACTACATACATATTCAATAACGTAAAAACACTATGTTAACGTTATTATTCGGTAATGAATGTTGTATATGTTTATTGTTGAAGTAATTTTAATATGAATATTAACGTTTGATTATTCATAGATTCATTAAAATGTTATTATTCTATTATACATTTATGCATATGCATTTTCATAGTAAATTATAAAATTAGTTTTGCCTTTTAAATATTCATATATTCATTGTTGAATAATCAAAATAAAGCTGTTGATACAAAATTCATTCCAAAATTATAACATAAAAATAACGTTTTTACATTCTCACACTATTTAATATTTTTTTTGAACTATCCCCATCTACATTATACGTATTTATAAATCTAGTTAACAAAAAAACTTTATTTTCATACATAAAATAATCATCAGATGCACTTAAAAAAAATATGGATTATAAATTATGTATTTGTTGATAACACCGCTTACCTACTTCAAATTAGAATTATGTTATATATTCATTTCAAAATTTAATAAGTGAATAGGTGTTATATTATTCTAACACCAACTTTTATAGTCATTCTTTTCACAATTCATAATTCAAATTAAGTCTTATAAACTATGTTACTATAATAGGAATTTGATGGGGAAAAAATCTTTAAGTTACTCACAACATGTATTTCATTTTAACATCCATATATTCAACAAAATACCACCACAAACCCATAGCTTTAGAAATTACATGACTCATATTTCTTATCAATGTGTGCCCTTTGCTAAGTGTCATATGCCATATATTACATATGGAATATAAGAAATATTCAGGTTCACAGTTCTAATAATAACCATTAAATAAACCATCACATAGTTTTACTTAGAATACGTCCAACACATAATAATCCTAACAAACTTACCATAATCCAAAAAACCAACATAACAAAACACTTCAAACTTCATTAACGATCAGGTTTTTATAATACTAATAAACCTAATTAAAAAACACCATCTTCTTCAAAGATCATTCTACTGCAGTACACCTGTGATTTCCTTCTTCTTTTCTTCAATCACCTTCATCCTTTCAAACCTATCCATTTTTTTAACAGCTGCATAATGCTTCAAGAATGTTTTCTTCATAACATTAAAATCCGACATCATCAACTTATCCAGATACTTATACCTTAACCTTCCCAACATCTTTTCTTGAATTTTATTATCAATACATAGACCGCAATCCCATTTATGTGCCGCTTCTCCCATGTATGTTTCCATGTGTCGCATAAGGAAAATTCCACAGTCAACACCAACTATATTCCTTTGACACTTCATTTTTATAACCACAACTTCTTTTTTAAGTAACACATTTGCTTTTTTGTGTTCAACACTATTCAGATAACGACAAAAGAAGCTTTTCTGCATGTCAAATTAAATAATAATTCATATTATAATAATTATATAACAACAATACTCACGATCTATATACGAATTCATTAAGTAAACAACAGATCTAACCAGGATACGTGGTATATTCCCATATGCAGACTCGATTGTCCCAGACCTCTTGATGTGATCAAATATATAAAATGCAACCCTTTTCAAACAAAAACACACTAGGTAGTAACTTTCATCAACAACAATTGGTATGAAAACCTACATTTAAACAATATCAACATCAGTTCCACATACATGTGTGATACCAATCATGTCTAAAAACTGTAAAAATTAACAATTCCATACCAAGTCCACCGTTTTCAAATCTGGTTTGTCCGTTATGTCATTCATCACAGCTACAAACATAATTATGAATTTATTGTACCTTAGCTCCTCATCTACAGCTTCATCAACCATGTAATCTGTCTGTTTTATCATAACAAAATACCGACCATATTACAATTCATTGCGGAATATGACATACAACACACATCTTATTCATAAAAACTTACAATCGTATCGCATGTGAAGTACATCCTAGAGTAAGAAGCCTCAGACTTCAGTTCTTCAATTTTATTAAGGAAAGCAGCCCACGCGTCTATTACATTGGTATGCACTTTTTTTCTCATAGCTAACGTACGTGCAGCTTCCAAATGCATTCCATGACCATCAACAGTTTCCCATATAAATTCCCTGCCATTTAAACATAATACAATAAAAATGCCACGACAAAAAAAAAATCCATTTTAATTGAGTCACATAAAATGTACATTCTTACCCTTTATCTTTCCCCCAAGCTATTATGCTTTGAGCCACAACGTTTTCATCATCTTTAACCGCCTCATCCACATCTGTTATCCGATCTACATATGGTGAACACACCAATTGTCCAAGTTTCCCCTTCCTTTTACCTTTCCCATTTTTCAACTTATCAACATGCACCATTTCTCTTTCCATAATATCTTTTCCAGTTCTTTTTTTCAGTTTGTCTTCCGCTACAGATTTTTTTGTATATCTAATTACTGGCTTGCTTCCTCCTTTAACATCCATACTCTTATCTTCCTCATTCAATTGTGTTATTCTCAAATCGAACGATGGTATGTCATCTTTGCAAAAATCCTTGTTCTTTCTCATGCTCCGTTCCACAATCTCATCAGACATATTCAAAAAACCAGGAGTCAGAACAACTGGACTATCCAATGATGTATTTCCTTTATATTCCAGAAAGAGCACGGAAGGTGAGTCGCACCCATCCACAATCTTTGTCTTCTCATTATTCCTTCCAGTAGATTGAACATTGCATATGGGACTATTTCCTTTCACAAAACTACTTCCTTTCACAAAATTACTTTGCCCAGGATTGACTGCAACTTTAACGGGCGTTTTCATTGTCACTTCATTTGTGGGAGAGATATTATCTACATGTTCCACATTCTTTTCATTAAAAAGTTTTCGCACCTTTCGTAACCACTCTTTTACCACATCATCATTTGCATCCTCTTCTAACCCCTTGTTAATTGCTTCCTCAATTTTTTCCTTATCATCACAGATCCTACTATATAGCTTTTCAATTGATTCCACATCTACCTGTCATTGTAATAAAAACGAGTTACAATATCTTCTTATGTATAATATTATTTTTTTACAGAAAATATGACATAATTATTAAAATAACTTACCACCTTATCCTCATCACCATTTACATCAATAGGATCCACTTCCCCATCTGCACGAAACTCCAAGGTTCCAAATTCTCCATTTCTCAATCCATGCTCCTCCAACATTTCCAAATCCACTGAGTCAATCTGATTTATCAATGGCCTTGATCTGCAGAGATTATAGCCATTCAAAACTACTTTGTCCGCATACGCAAGCTGTAACATCAGAATTAATAAGTTATCTTATATTATTTTCATTACAGAATAAAAAAATACAACAAAAATAAATGCACATACTTACAAATACTTACCAGTAACGGTGTAACTGGACCTATGTAATAATAGTTTGCGTCATTTGGCCTCCATTTGTATTTTGCCTTCTCCAAACATTCCACTATATACTTGCACCAATCAATAATTTTGAATATCTTCACACCTTGCTAATTTCTCCAGACAATTAATACGGCTTGCCCCACTCATTTTTGTCTCTGCAAACGTGTTTATGAATAATGTCAAGAAATTAAGCTTGAACATGTCATCCGCCACATCCGATTGTCTAATCCTCTTCACATAGTTTCCATTATTGAACTTTCCTCCTGGATATTGACTTTTCCATGCTTCAATAACTATATCTGTTTTATCGCATTCCACCAACTGGTTGTAGTCTAAACCTTCACTTGGCAAACCAAACATCTTTTCAACCGTTTTCTTTGTAATAAGTATTTCCCCTTTCTTAGTCTTAATCGTGGATGTTTTTGCTCTAAATTTGTCCACCAGGTAGTAAGCCAATCTAGAAGGTATTGAATCTAACTTTATATCAAGGAATGCACCAAAACCCATTCGTCTCACCATTTCTTTCTGGCTGTATGACATTCCCTTCACCGCCATATACATTGATTTTGGGGACATACGACAACTTATTTTTTGCAACTCCTGAGTTTTGTCGTCCTCAACATCCGCATCTTCATTTTCTACAACATTCTTTCTTTTCGTTTTTCTTATCTTCATTCCTTTCTTCTTATCATCTTCCTTTGAAACTTCAATTTTTAAGACTTTAGTTTTTTTCCTACCACTTCTTCTTACATTAACATCAACATCAGCTTCACTATCTTCATAATGTTCATCTTTCCTTTTCTTTTTCTTACTTACACTAACACTTGATTCGCCTACAACAAACACAAAATAATATACGCATGATCACTATAATACTACACCAATAAGAATCACGCATAATATTTGCAAATGTTTTATGCCTTGAATACTAATGTATTCTGTATTGACTACTACATCAAACTGACTACTACATAATAATGTATTATGTATTCTGTAATATGTAACGAGGCATAAAATACATAATGTATTATGTATTGACTACTACATCAAACTGAAAATTGATTTTATGAAATATTACATACTTTCATCAAATACTGTTAGTCATGTCAAGATTCAATTCATGCTTAGGGATAACACTACACAAATAAGAATCATGCATATTTGTTTTTTATATGTTTTCAAGTCAGAGTATTTACTATAAGTAATATATGATGTATTGAATGATTACCTAATATGTTCTTTATTGAATACTAACTCGAATCTTAAACATAACAAAATATTACATACTAAAACACATAATGTGTTAATCAAATAATGCTACTCATATGAAGATTGAATGCACGATTGTGATAATAAAGAATGCATATTTGTTTTGTATATGTTTTCATTGCAGCCTATTTTTTTTCCAAACATATAAAAAAACATGTACTGAATTATTACATAACGTATTCAACATCTAAATCATTTCATTATTGAATCCATGTAGAAGCATTGCACACTGTCGCACATACTGTGCATTCTGTATTGAAGCATTACATAAGTAATTTAATCTGTGTTGAATACTAAAATAAACTATTAAGTACACAATTAATTCTAATATTAATAATTCAATAAATAATCCTTATTTTTATTTTTTTAAAAATACTTTTACTTTGAAATACTACAAAATAACAAAAACCATAACACTAATAATACAACTTCAGTTAAGAATAATTAATATAAGAAATATATGATGTATTGAATTCTTACATAATGTATTCAAAATCCAAATGTTTTCATTACTGAATACATGTGGAAGCATTGCACACTGTCGCACATACTGTGCATTCTGTATTGAAGCATTACATATGTAATGTAATCTTTATTGAATACTAAATTAAACTATTAAGTACACGATGAATTCTGTTTTGAATAATTTCATACACAATGCTTATTATTATTATTTTTAGAGTACTTTTATTTTGAAACAATAAACAATAACACAAACCATAACACTGATAATAAAACTTCAGTTCAGAATATTTAATCTAAGACATATATGATATATTAAATTCTAAAATAATGTTATCAATATCCAAATGTTTTCACTACAGAACACATGTGCAAGCATTGCATATTTTTACACAAACTGTATACTCAATTAAGAACATTTTAGTACTAATATATACTTTCTATTAAAATATTATAGAATGTGTTCAATATTGAAAACATGTGGCTAATCATTTAATATTATTCACATAAAAAACAAAACAACATCACGCAGTCAAACAAATACAAAGCTAAAACAATATCAGTCACAGAAGAAGTACCTTTTTCAAATCTCGTTTTCACCTTCTTTTTTGCTAATGGTTCCTTGCTAAGCATCACCACACTAGAACCTCCTGCAACATATGACAATGAAAAATGGTTTAAAATTAGACTATTTATTATTTAATATATAAAAACCTTGAAAAACTAGTCATCCGTCTAATTAGATTCCATGATTCAACCACAACAACAATCTTAACTGTACTACGATTATAATATCATTATCAACAGGACACAAAACTTCAAACACACAATTATAATACTTGTCATCTTCAACAAAACCCTAAAAAAAATCAACAACAAAAATTAGGATACGTGAATCGTCTTCTTCAACAAGGAAACCAACTAGAAACATTATCTTTCTACATTTCTAACCATTTTACGCATATTATATTTGTTTTTAAATACACAAAGCAAACAATCGTCGTATTCAAAACAGAAACTAATTTAAAGTTGTATTTGAACATCAATGAGCAAAACCTGAATGAATGTTCACGAAATCGTCGTCATCAAGGTTAATGGCTTCTTCAAAGGTGTTGCTGAACTTGTTGCCCTTCATTTTTGACTCTGATCGAAGAGTCCTCATTCTGTGATATGTTGAGCAATCAACTCTTTTTATATTCAACTACCGAATCAGCTTCACCAGAATCACATTCAATGTTGAAATCGACTAATATCTTCAACAAAAATTGGACGATGCGCACGGATTTGGAAGACGGATTCACCGGCGAAAATTACGAACATAGAAGCCTTTTCCTAAATTATTTAACCTAGTTTTTTTACCCAAATGCCCTCAAAACCCCGTGATCAGCTAATTCCTTGTATTTTCCACTTTTTTTTGCCTTTTATTAAATAGGAAAATACCTAATTATCCTATCCATCTATTTAATTAATCTAATGGTTGTAAAATGTCCTCATGATCTCACAATAATTGGTGTTTTCACAAGAACTATCCCCTATATATATATATATATATATATATAATATATATATATATATATATATATATATATATATATATATATATAGAGGCTTGTTTAGGCTCATTTAGGCTCGCGAGCTCACTAACTGAAGCTCGGCTCGAGCTCGTTTAATAAACGAGCCTCATATTTAGGCTCGAGCTCGGCTTGGGCTCGTTTAATTCGATCTCGAGTCGAGCTTTTAACGAGTCGATCCCGAGTAGCTCGCGAGTAGCTCGGCTCACTTACACCCCTACTAGTGGGCCCAATAAAACACTAATGGGCCCAATGAAGCCCTAATTGACCTAAAAGCCCAAACATGTGACTAATGGGCCTAGTGAAACCCTAATGGGCCTAATGAACCCTAATTGAACAAAAGACCTAGATATTGGGCCTAATGGGCTAGTATTTGGGTTGGAAACCCTAATTAGGGTTTGGAAAGCCCTAATGCCTTGAAACCCTAATTTTGGGATTGATCGGGACTGCACGAGAATTATTTATTAAACCTAAAATAATAATTAATAATCATTGGCAAATTAACCGAAGGCAATATTGGACTTAATGGATTAAGTCCTTAGTAGGTTAAGTAAGAAACACTTAACCCTAACCGTTATTTCATGTGGAAACCCTAATTACACTTGGGCCTTTAGTTTGGCCTTTCTATTGGGCTTTGGTGATTGGACTATTAATGTGCTTTCCAAGAATAAGTAAATGGACTAAATAATTGTATGAGTTTTAGGATAAGGCCCATGTGAGAGTCTTGGGCCCAATTTGGAAAATTGGGCCATAGATGGGTCATAATCGGGCCTTTTATGATTACGTGATATTGGGCCATGGGAATACCAAGAGTTTGGACTAGAATAATTGGATGAGCCTTAAGGAAAGACCATGTAGAGGTCTGGGCCCAATTTGGAAAATTGGGCCTTATGTTGAGCTTTGGCCCATTACTTGACTTTTGGGCCTTTGGAGTGTGAGTTGGACCTTGGGCTTGGAACCCAATTATTAATTGGGTATTGTTTGATGTTGACAGATCGGGAATCTGTCAACCAGCAGCTGGAGTTTTATTCGCGGGACTTCAGCAATGTGAGGTGAGTTTTCCTCACTATACTCAAGGGTCTAAGGCACCAAGGCCGGCCCTTTTTGGATTGTTATCCTGATATGTTATGCTAGTATGATCTGTTCGATCAGTATCCTGGTAGATAGGATGATATATGCTATTATGATCTGTTAGATCATTATCCTGGTAGATAGAATGTTATTATGCTGCTATGATCAGTTAGATCGGTTTATCTGTCTATAGATTGTTATGTGATTATTCGTTATATGTGCACATGCTTGACTGGTGGTTGAGGCTTATATGCTTTGTGCAAAAGCTAATAGACCTGGGCATTCCAACCTGTTGGTTGTGGGGCGTGAGTATCCCATCCCGAGGATGATTGGACTCGTAGTATGTGGGCATTCCAACCCGGTGGTTGAGGGCCTGGGGTATTCCAACCCGATGGTTGATTGGACCCATAGTATGTTGTGTGACATCCCCAAATTTCTCGGCCAGAAAAGACCGATTTAATTTATGCTTTTAAAATAAAATTAGAGTAATCTTTTTAAAAGATGTTGCGAAATTTGTCCCCAAAACAAAACATGATAATAAATTTATCAAAACATTTCTTAAAGAAATATATATTTTCATTATATATCAAAACCTCAGGATGTCATGTTCCGATACAGATCAAAAGCATAAACAGTACATTATAAGTCTTACAACAGTTATTTACAACTACTGACCTATAATCCAAAAATCTCTCATCATCATCCGACTATGCTTGAGGTCCACTACCTGTAATATAAAAAGCTGAGTGGGTCAGGCTTGGGAGCCTGGTGAGCATATAGGGTTTTCAACCCACAAATAATAATAAATTTATTAAATTCATCAACCAAAAATAAATTTATTAATTTCATCAACCAACAATAACTCTGATTACCCATTCCCGTTATCCTCACTTTACGTCCCTAAACACCTATCATAAGGGACCTAGTCTAAGAATTTTCATCGGGATGGACACTACTGCTAAGGGGATTCCTCAACCATACATGTCCTTAAGGCAACCATGAGGGGGATGGAGTACACCAATGAACGTATAGTTCACCAACACCTACAGGTTGCGAACCTGCTGGCGTTCCACTAGACTGTCTAGAAAGGTCCGTGGTCGTCATCTATACTCCGCTGGATGAATACAACATCAACAACGACAACAACATCGAGGCCTCTCATCATTTTAACACACATCAACTATTTCATCTACCCATGTTTTTACCCAACATATTTGTAGATAAAAATACATATACAGTTTAAAACTTGTATAAAACATTTATTCAACACCCATCTCAAATAATAAAACAATACAATTACACATAGCACGTATTTTATAGAAAATACTTCATATCTATGTGTAAGATGAAAGTGACTATACACTCACTTGTTAAGACGATAATTGGGTAGCACCTCGTCTTTTAAAATAATCTTTTCAGATGAAACCGGAGTGTTTTCTCAAAAAACCGGGCTTCACATGGACAGAGTTTCGGCTCGAAACTCTTTTTCTCGGGATCTTTGGGGCTGTGGAACTTGCTTCGGGTGCTAGGACGATACACTAGGCTTCGGGGGTAATTCTTGCAATTTAGGAGAGAGTATAAGGGTGAGATGTAAATAAAGTAAACAAAAATCGGCTGCCTTCGGTTGATGTTTATAGTAGTCCGAAGCTGCTGACTACGCTGAGCGTAAGTCCTCAGTACGCTAGGCGTACTGCGAGGCGATCCACTACGCGGGGCGTACCCCTCGTACACGGAGCGTACCTGCGAGGTGTCGTCTGATCGGAACCCGAGCCTCAGACGTGTCAAGAATGAATGATACGTGTTCGTCGGATATAGTACGTTGGGCGTAAGTACTGTACGTTGGGCGTACCCTTCGGATAAGTCTCGAATTTTCATTTATTTTTATTTAAAAACTTCAAAAATTCATATCTTTTGCATACGAGCTCCGTTTTTGACGTTCTTTTTATGAACGCGTAGGTGAAATTATGCTCTACAACTTTCGTTTAGACTCCGTTGGCTAATTTTGATTTATTATTAAAGTTATATTTTTAACAGGCCGAGACAGCAAAAGTTCGTTAAAAATTTATAACTTCTTCATCCGACGTCCGTTTTCGTCTGTCTTTTTACCGTTGCACTAATATTGACGAGATCTTCGATTCTCATTTAGATTGTTTCGCCTAAAAATCACTCGATCTAAATTTCGAGTTTTGGTCTACATACTGCTAAGTCGAAACTTAGAAAAATCATAACTTCCTCATATGAAGTCAGATTTGGGCGTTCTTTTTATGCACGCTCTCGGTTTAACGAACTCTGCGACTTTCGCTTAGATCACTAAGGCTAAAAATCGTTATATCGTAATTTCACTATTTACGTCACGCAGTGTCGTACCGGTTCTGTCGCGAAACTTCGACATGTCATAACTTCTTCGTTATAACTCAGATTTCGGCATTCTTTATATATCCGAAATCCTTGTCACGACGACTACAACTTCCTTCATAGATATTGGGTTTATCTAATATTTTATTTTAATGCTTCTTTTTATCTTTAATTTATCAAATCACAACAATTAAGCATAAAACACATAATACTCAAATAATACATTTTTATTATTTCAAAATGGGTTACAAGGTGTAACATACACGTTCAGTTATCGTGTTATGTATTTTTAAAAGTAAAAAATATAATGAAATATTATATGAATTTGAGCGTTGAGTTCTAACAGATAGTTTTTACTAGAAATGAAGTAAAACTATGTTTAGAATCCCTCGGAAAATATTGGAAGTCTTATGAAATTCCAATTAAAAGTCAAACGTCAAAATTTAATGAAAATTTAAAATTTGAAATAAGTAGAAATTTATTAATGAAAGTTGTAGATAGTTTCGTTAGATACATTTAGGCGAAAACCTCATCGAAATCCGAGTTATAACGACGAAGTTATGACCAATCGAAGATCCGCGACAAAACCGACACGGCGCCGAATGACGTAAAAAGTGAGTTTTTGATAAACTACCTTTTAGCCTTGGTGATCTAAATGAAAGTCGTAGTATTTGTTAAACCGAGAATTTTCATAGAAACAACGTCGAAATCTAACTTCGTATGAGGAAGTTATGATTTTTCAAAGTTTCGGAATAGCAGTAGACAACTAAAAACTCGAAATAAAGATCGAGTGATTTTTATCCGACGCAACCTAAACAAGAATCGAATATCTCGTCAATAGTAGTACAACGGTAAAAAGACTGACGAAAACGGATGTCAGATGAAGAAGTTATGAATTTTTAACGGATTTTCCTGTCCCGGTCTGTTAAAAATAATAATATTAAAAATAAATTCAAAATTAACCGACGGAGTCTAAACGAAAGTTGTAGAGCATAACTTTACCTATGCGTGCATATAAAAAAACGTCAAAAACGGAGCCTGTATGCGAAAGTTATGGATTTTAGAAGTTTGGGACACAAAAATCGAGAAAAATGCTAAAACCGAGGAATTTCGCATGGCTCAAGTTCGGCCACATCACCTCGCATGCGAGATGCCCCGTGTACGA